AGCGTGTTGGGCTCAGTGGGTAGAGCATCAGCCTGTGAACTGAAAGGTTCCGGGTTTGATTCCAGTCAAGGGCACATGCCTCGGTTTGCGGCTCAATCCCCAGTAGGGGATGTGCAGGAGCAGCCCAGCCATGATTCTCTCTCATCATTGATGTGTGATTATCTCTCCCTCTCCCTTCCTCTCTGAGATCAATAAAATATTTTAAAAAGAAAAAAAAAGAGCAAGGTTCAGCAAACATTCACATAGCATTCTTCCCTTTTATGACCTGTTGCCAACTCAAATGCCTTTAGGGTCCAGATAGGTAATGCAAATAAGACTCTGGGGCTTGAAAAGGACATGGAGAACTAGAGGGGAGATTTCCTTGCCAAAGAGTCTTAACAGTTCTAAATATCCTAATCACTGGGTAGGACCAACAAAACACACCCTCTGGCAGCCAGTTCAGCCTCTAAGGTAAAGGTGATTCATGTAGTACCCACAATTTTCTTGGGAATTTGACCACAATGATGAGAGAATTGGGAGAGGTTCAAGTTCAAGCCACTTCCTCTCCATTGATTCCCACTCTATAAGGATGATGCATATTTCTAAAGGTTAGCTCACCTGATATTCTAGCAACTAGAAATCTATTGCCTGGAAGCTCTGAATAGCTCAGCCCTGTAAGAATTCAGGGAGAAGGTTTTGAGCTATCAGAAAATAAATCTGTTATTTAATGACTTGGGTTTGTTCTGGGCTCGCCTGTGAATTGCTTTCACTGCACGTTTGTTCTTTGGGAACTGGCAGCCCAGGTGTAGTGCCTGTGGCTTTACATGGAATTTGTCCTTTCACTGCCTTTATGGGGGTTAAAGGAAGTGACAGCAAGCAGTAGCGACTGTCCCCATACGCACCTCGCTCACAAGCTTGTTCACGCTCTGAGCCCGCTTCAGAACCAGGTTGTCCTGGGCCGGGAGGGAGTGGTAATGAGCAGGACCTTTCATCATGTTGAAGTCCTGCCTGTATTTTATCTGAAAGACACACAAAGAGGGTCCAGAGTTGCTGTCTTCATGCTCCATGGCAGAACTTACCCTCAAATTACACCACACTTAATGTCAACATTCACTTCACAGAATTTCCTGAAGGACAAATATCATATGGGTTGTTTTTTTTTTCTCCATACAACCCACATACCACTCAGTCCCTCTCATATTAAAATGTTATTGGCCCGGGTCACTTTTATTTGGTGCACTGTCGGCACATCTTCACGCAGCGGTTCTCAACCTGTGGGTCGCGACCCCTTTGGCGGTCGAAGGACCCTTTCACAGGGGTCACCTAAGACCATCCTGCATATCAGATATTTACATTACGATTCATAACAGTAGCAGCATTACAGTTATGAAGTAGCAACAAAAATAATTTTATGGTTGGGTCACAACGTGAGGAACTATATTTAAAGGGCCAGAAGGTTGAGAACCACTGTCTTTATGGAAAGTGGCTCATTTTCACACCCTAGAAATACTCTGTCTATGTAATGTAATTGTAAACTGAAATAAACAGGATCACGTTTGTAAATAAGGTGAATAAGAAAAAAACAAGAATTTCACTACAAAAAAGTTACTGGCCCTTTTCACACTTTGCACTCTAATTCTGCATAAAAAAAGGTGCAGTCCCAAACCCGGTCTGCCCTAGGTTTCAACATCATTTCTCATCTTGTCTGCTGAGGAGGGGCAGAGAGATGAATGTGTCTTTCTCTTTCCCCTTGGGGTCCAAGTGTATTGCTCTGGGTAAACAGGTTTAATAACTGAATAGTAACCGAGTAATTGAGAAGGGCAAAGGGTTGTGAACTGAATGCCTGGCTTCCAATTATACATCAAGTTCAAGTTGGTGTCTTAGTTCTACACAGCGTGTGTGTCACTTTACCTCAAGTTTAATTATAGCCTGTCTCTCAAGGACCGGCAGCTGGCCAACCTTCTGCAAATAAAAATCATTTTATCACCTGGGTTACACCCAGTCTGATAACCAGATGACTTTTCTAATCAGCTTTCGAAAGTGCTTGATTGGGGGTGAGGGCATGAGTCGGGGGGTAATGCGGGGATAAGAACACATATGTAATGCCTTACTCAATAAAGAAATTAAAAGTGAAAAAAAAGACTGAAAGAAACAAATCTACTAATCTCAAATCAGAAATTCTTGCATTTGTGTGCCCCTGGCCAACTTGGGAGAAAAATGAGTATTCTGCATTGTCTTAGGAAGAACCATTTCTTTACATAAAAAGGAAATTTTGAAAAACATACATTTTCTTTAAAAAAAAGTGCCACACTCCCAGGAATAAGATAAAATAATGGATACAAATAAATAATTCTTAAAAATAAAGTATTCAAAAAAATGCTCGATTTCTAGATGGGTTATTTTGCAAAGAGTGTCCTAGCCCCAGTGTACCTGGCTGGGCCAGCATTTGCACTGGCTTCAGCTGACCTAACGTGAGGCACGCCATTTTGTCCGTATCAATCTCTTTTGAAGCAGATACATGGGACCAAACAGTCTGAACAAAAGCAGTGGAGCCAGAAAATCTGGATAGAAACTGAGGGCGAGCATTCTACTTTGGCTCGGCTCTAACACACATATCCGTGTGTAGGTTTCAGCAAGCACCGCCCTCAGTCTCACTTCTCTGCTTCTGTGGACCTGCAGGTCGTCCCAGTGTGGTACTTACGTCACTCGCGAGTGCGTGGGCTTTCTTGGCGTTCTGATAAGCCGGGGTGATCATGGCGGGGAAGCTGCCCTTCCCTCGGTGCTCCTCATAGTCCTCCACGTAACCCTGCGGAGTTGATCAAAACCTTCCATCAGTAACGTTCCCCTCCCTGCACGGGTGGGAAGTGAGCAATGATCTTTCCCCCTGAGGCCCGTCCACACTGGACATTCCAGTGATCTCCCCAGCAGTGGTGCCACGTGGGGGTTAAGGCAGCAGACTGTGGAGTCAGCGCCACTTCCTGGGGCCCGGTACCCAGTCAGCGCTAAGTAAACGGTGGCCATTCTCATTATCATCATAGTCATTTTCGCCAGATAAATCATGACACTCTCCCAGTCTCCCAGGCCCATGGATAATGGAGAATTCCTTTCTGAGTGGATGCCAGGAAAGCCCTCCTCTCTTCCAGTCGTCCTGAATGCTACCTTTCTCAGGCCCACATTTAGAACAAAATCATTTTCACCAAATACTGTATGGATTTTTTTAAAGTTGTCCTGAGCCTTCTCAACAACATATTTAAAAACATGAAATCAATAAAAAAATGTATTTCCACTGAGTTTAAAGCACTCGGAGACCATTTAACTTATTGTGGAATTTCATAAAATGGTCTTTTTAATTCAAAACCAAATATTCTAAAAAAAACAATGGGAAAATACCCTCAGGTGAAAAAAATAAGTAAAATAAAATAATGTAAATTAAAAAACAACAACAACAACAAAAAAACAAATATTTTTGCTCAGGCAGACATTTGCAATGGAGTCGCAAACTATGTTCACATGATTGTATCCGCACATGGGCAACTTGTTTCTCTGAAGAAGAGAAATAAGTTATTTGTTATCTTTTATAAACTATGTTGAATGAGTCATTTATGTTGTAGAGTCTACCTACTGCCAACATTTCACACAACTGCCCAATTAAGAAAAAAATATTAACGAAGCTCACTGAATGTACTCTTCCAGTACACACAATTGGTCTTCCAATGTTCTTTACTTACAACTGTGAAAAAAATAATGTTTTCTTTCTCCCCTATGACACCTGTCTAGTACCAGAAAACAGACAGGGATGTGCAAATAAAAAGTAGCTTGTAATTGTCACCTCAACCTTTTTATACCCTATCAAGTATAGCTCATTTAAGAAGTAAAACTGGGAAAAAGGTTTGCATTCTCTGGAATGCTGCTTTATCCAGCAACCTAGATAAGAAACTCCACTTGCTAAGAAAATGAGCCCTGCTGCTCAGTGAATTGCTAAATATTTTTCAAGACATGTATTTAGATCCCCTTTGTGCTTATGTAATAGTGGGTTAAAAGTAGCCAGTCCTGCCCTGGCCGGTGTGGCTCAGCTGGTTGGGTATCATCCCATGCACCAAAAGGTTGCTGGTTTGATTCCTAGTCAGGGCACATGCCTGGGTTATAGGCTTGATCCCTGGTAGGGGGCATGCAGGAGGCAGCTGATCACATCAATGTTTCTCTCTCTCTCCCTCTCCCTTCCTCTCTCTCTCAAAATAAATTTAAAAATGTTTTTAAGTAGCCAGTCTTAGTCCATGAGACTGTTCTTCAGGGAATAGATGAGAATGCTATATTCTTGGCAAACCACCATCTTGATATAGGTCCTTTATTTAAAAAAAAGGGGGGGTGGGGTGGAATGCTTGGAATCTGTTTTCCTGAGTGGTTCAAGATGGCTCCCATGAAATTGCTTGCCCACGACTTTCTGGCTTGGAAAGTCTACCTTTCATCAATAGGGCAAAGATAAGCCACGGCCCAACCTCCGATGAAATGGCCATGGGCTGTGTCGCAGGCTACATAACTCACCATCGCAAAAGGCCGTTCTCCCAGAAAGTCATTTGATCACATACCTGACCACACTGGTCCACATAGTCCCTTGTCAGTGTGCCCTCGGCTGCCGTGGCTGAACCAGCCATTCCTTTCATTTCTCTTTGATATTGTTGATGGTACCTCACCTGTTTGAAGGGAAAGGACAAACCCGGTGAATACAGCCTCCTATGCACAGAGGCCAGAAGTGTAAAACTAAATGGCCGTGGAGTGTTCTTTTTATATTTGGGTCCCGGGAGTGTGCTTGGACATAAAGTGCCAGATTGTAGTGAAATTGATTGACAACCATGAAGAAAAGCTACTTCTTGGATCCACAGCACATGCAACAGGAGACAGGAGGTTGGACTTGTTGGGCCCAGGTAACTTCCTGTTTCCTCCCCTAACAGGACACGATTGCTGGGGACACTCACATCACTCGCCAGCTCATTGGCCCTTTTGGCTATCTGATAAGCAGGTGTGATCATAGCAGGAAAACTGCCTTTGCCTCTCTGCTGTTCATAGTCCTCAGTGTAGACCACCTGGAAAATGAAAACAAACTTGGAATCGCATGTCACCATCCCGCTATCTACCAGGCAATCGGGTGGGAAGCTTTGCTAAGGGCTCCTGGAACACCCCGCAATCCCCTATTCACAGCTGTTCGGTCACAGCTGTTAGAGCTGGATGGGCCCTGCACACCTCATTTACCTTCTTATTCCCAATACTTGGCACAGTGCCTGGCACATGAAGCTCAATGTAGAATTCAACACGTGTGTGTGCAGCACCTGGTGTGGGCCAGGTGAAGGGCTGGGCAGAGGAATACGGCTTCTGCCTTTGAGGAGCCGCCAGTCAAGTCTGGGAGACAAGAGAGGCTTCTCAACCCAAGGCAAATAGAAGCCATTTTTTCAGCTGAACTTCAACCTGTTTTAAGCTTCCCACTCAGAACAATAGTGAGTTCTTGGTCTTATCTTATGGAGCAATTAGAGTCTAGACTATGAAAAGTGGTAGAAATTCTTTAGAAGTTGTGGTCTATAATTTTCAGTGACAATGAGAGTATATAAAGTAAATTCTTTCAGATTCATCAGATAGTCTGATTTGTTACTATTCTCAAGTTTTCTCTCTAAACATGAGTTTTCACAAGGTCTACAGTATGTGAGCTGACTTATCTGATCTGACCATACTTGACCTTAGGAAGTTCTCCCTGTTCCCTGTGTAGGACTGACATGCCTTCCACATTCCCCCTCCCTCCTTCTCCAAATAAGGAAAGAATGGGGGGTCATAAGTGAGAATCACTGAGTCTCCACCTTCACCATTTCTTACATCACTTTGAAGCCGTCCCCCAGCCCTGGCCCGTAGCAGCTCAGGAGTATCCGCCATGGTGGTGAACCTGGAGACCCGCTCATCGTGCCCTCTCTTGTATTCCACCTGAGGAGACAGTACAGGGTCAAGGTCATACTCACTGGCCTTTGTGAAAACCTCTCCTTGGAGCTCTCCAGAAGTTACACCTTGGGGCTACTGTGAACACACACCTGGGGTGAGTCTCCACTTCAAAAAGCAATGATGCTAATAGGAAAAGTCTAAGAGAGTACCAGGCACTGCTAACATTAACAAACGCTAACTCACTTCATCACCCTATTTTGCATAAAAGTAGCTGAGACATGGAGAGGTTAAAGTAATTTGCTCACAGCCAGCGAGAGAGCCAGGATTCAAATTCTAAAGTCTTAACTAGCAAGCTATGCTGTTCTTCAGGAGAGTCTGCTATCTGCTTAATAAGAACCAGTGTCCTTCAGGCTAAAGTGACCTCAAGAACTTATTTGGCCCAGTTTTGGGGTGAGATGCATGGTCTTTTCTCCATGTGATGGATGCGGCCCAATCATGGCACAGAGGATAACTGATAGGGGAGAGACAAGAACACAGTTTTCTCCACATAACACCACACTAATGGTGCCTTCTGTCCAAAAGCACTGTCTCATTGAATTTTATCTGACCCCTGGGGGGACACTAATAACAAAAATTAGCATAATTAAGAGTGACTAAGCACGAACACACTCACTTGGCTGGCCAGCTGGCTGGCTCTCTTGGCCCTTTGATAAGCAGGCGTGATCATGGCTGGGAAGCTCCCCTTACCCCGCGGTTGCTCATAGTCTTCTGTGTACTCCTGCTGGTCAGAACCAAGGTCGGCATGAGAACCTACTATATGATTTCGGATGAGATCTAATAAAATAGCAATAGCAAGCATCATCAGAACCAATGCCACTGGATGTGTAAGATACCTGGAAACTAATTCAGCCACCTGGAATGAATCCAAAAATATTATTCACATTGTGGAAACTATTATTCACAAATGAATCACACCTTCAAATAATATTCCCCAGGTAAAAAAAAAACCTTCCCCTTTCCATGTTGACATCATATTATGTGGAATCAGACACACCTCAATTAGTATTTCTGATTCAAAGGCATGTATGATAATAAATCCATTAATATGCAGGAGCCTGGCCTTAACTTGTCCACTAGAGATAGTCCTACAGCAAGCATGCCAAACTCAAAGGCTAACACTGGCCAAATGAACAAGATTGAAGTTGATGTGGGCCGCAATGAACAAAAGCTTCAATTTCCATAGAAATGTAGGTTCATTTTGATAGAGACGTGCTGAATACGAAGGGCTAAAATAAATGAGTCATCGTTAATATAAAATAATACGAAGGGTTGAAATAAATGAGTCATCGTTAACGTAAAATAATAGAGCATTTTAATAAAAATTCGTATTTTTTCTTGAACATTAACTTACCAGACACTGAATAACTGTACAAATTAATAAGTGTAACGCAAATAAAACTTGTTTTTTTGTTCTCCAAAAGTGAAATATTTCCTGTTGCGCACACCAAACAAGTCAGTACAAAACTAAAGATGTGGCAATTGGCTGCTAAAATATTCACTGCTAGTATTAGTGGAGAGAAATGGTGCACTTGCAGGTAAGGTGCATGAGGAAAATGAATGCAACACGATTATAGTAATCAATCACTAGCAAATGTTGTAATTTGTTATTAATAATTATGTCTAGCAGGATATTATAAAAATTAAGTGACAAAATTTTTATTAAAGCGTTTCTTACATACCGTTATATTGGCTGGGCCGCAAGAATATTTGTTGTGGGCCGCACGTGGCCCGCGGGCCTGGAGTTTGACATGCTTATAACAGCATTGGGAGTACAATGTTAGTTACTTTTTCCTCCTTGCTTTTTTAGTATCCATACTGATTAGTTTTCCTAATAAACACAGAAACTTAGCACTTGTGTTTCTATTGTTTCCTTTCCATTTGCTAAAGGAAAAGTCACTGAAGACTACTCATATTTTCTGAAGTGATTTCTTCAAAGGGCAGGTGCCCCGGGTGTGTGGGGAGGACGGGAAGGGATTCTGTGCAAATTGTTAAGGATTTCCACCAGCTGGGGCACTAATGCCTTTTTCACATGAAAACCTGCTAAAGTGAGGACTCTCTTCAGTGCTGGCTGTCAGAAACCTAAGCCGGGCCCTCAGGGCTGTTCCTTCTGGAGGCTCTAGGGAGAACCTGTTTCCTGGCCTTTTCCCGCTTCCAGAGGCTGCCAGCATTCTTGGCTTCTGGCTCCAAAGGGCCTTGACCTCTGCTTCTGTTGTCACATCACCTCTTCTCTGACTCCGACCCTCCTGCCTCCCTCCTTATAAGGACCCAATTGATTACACTGCGGCCACCCTAATAATCCAGGTTAATCTTCCATCTCAAAATCCTTAGGTTATTGACGTCCGCGAAGTTCCTTTGGACATGTAACATATACACAGGTTCCAGTTGTTAAGACATGGGGGTGGTGGGGGGAGGGACCAGTACTCCATCCACCACACTTTAAAATAAAGGAACATTCAAATGAATGGCTAAAATAATTTCTAAAGCCCTTACCTCACCAAGAGACTTTCGAGCCTCAACCATCCTTACGATTTCAGGGTCTGGCAGAGCTCCTGGGCACCAAGCATTCCCTTCCCCATATCCAGTCCAATAGGGTCTCTAAAAAGGAAACACGCAAATGCATACAAACACCTCCCTCAGGCATTTGGTAGGTAAGATTCCCCTTACCAATCCCATCCTCCCTGCAATGCTCACAACACATCGTCAATATCAGAGAGAAGTTCTCTAAAAACTACACTCTCCTATTGGCATATGGCAGGTCTCAGCTAAGCAAAATGTTCATTTTTTTCAAACTAAAAATATAACCTAATGTCCTAAGTAACTGAACTTTCTGCGTTTCACTTACATCATAGAAGAGTTCTAAAGGTAACTGGACAGTTGGATTTATAAACTGGATAAGAGAAACCTCACTGAATTTGTCTAGCAGTAATAATGAGAATGCATTTCATTGGCACAGGGTGTCATTGTTTTCTGTTTCCAAACCCATTCGTAACTCACCTCGTTCACCAATGGTCGCCCATTAGATGTGGTCGCCCCATCCCTGGATGCCATGTCCCACTGAAACACCGATTTAAACCTTCCACCATCGTCTGGCTCATCAACCTACCAATGAAGATGTTGTCAGTAACTTTTGCATCAGAAAAAAAGAAAAGAAATAATCTGCAGCTGAATTGGGAGGATTTTCCTAAGTCTCAACTGCACAGCATCACTGCACCACAACACACTGTGCTGTCGGTCTCCCCGTGGTTCAGCTGTTCCACCAGATGGGCAGCATGCATAGAGCACCTGCTGTGTGCAAAGCTCACTTCAGTGGTGCAATTACAAGGACTTAAAGTCTCCATGAGCTTATCACACAACGGGAATTCAGGTTAAATGAACCTCAGAAAACACTAGACTTTAGAGTAGCAATTCTTAACTTTAGTTTGTGCGACAGTTACCCAGGGAGCTTGTAAAAATGCTGGCTCCCCAAATTCAAGTAGGTGTTCTCTCATGTTTTATAATTTTACCTTTAGCATCTTGATCCATAACACATCTTTAGTTAATCTTTGTGTATAAATGCGAGGTAGGTATCAAGGTTTGTTTTGTCCCATGCAAATATCCAATCCCTCCCTCACCATTTATTTAAAGATCATTCTTGCTACATGGAATTGCAGTGGTGCCTGTGCTGTAATTCGAGTGATCATATATGAGAAGTTCTATTTCCGGACCTTGGATTATATGCTACTGGTCTATTTGTTCTTATGCCATTACAACATTGAGTTAATTACTACTACTTTTGTTGTAAGTCTTGAAATCTGGTAACCTAAGTCCTGCAATTTTGTTTTTCATGATTTCTTGGCCATTCTAGAATTTCTGCATGTTCATATCAATTTTAAAACTAGTTAATAAGTTTCCATGAACAAAACCTAAGATTTGGGGATTGCATTGAATGTGTAGATCAATTTGGGAGTATGACATCTCAACAATATCTTTGTGACCATGAAATAGGCAAAGATTTCTTAAAGAAAACATAAAAAGGACTAGCCATAAAAGAAAAAATCCGAAGGTTTTAGGTCTAAACCCAAATATCATAATTTATGAGGTTTAAAATGGGGCCCCAAAACCTGCACTATTAAGCTAAATTTTAAACCACTGATTTTATAGATGAGAAAGGTCTGAGAAAAGAAGTGAACTCACTAAAATTTTTCAGTCGGTTGTCAGAGCCAGATGTAGAACCCAGGGATTCTAGTTCCTCATCAAGGCACTTTCCATCATTGACTTTCTAGGCTTGATAATGCAGCTCCAATATGTATATTTTAAAATATATAAATTGAGAGGTTTTATATGCTTTTCCCCTTGGAGTTAGGAAGCTACCATGAACACTACATAACGAAGGCAGCGTTTCTTATGCACTGTAGGATATTCAGCATCATAGCTGACCTCTGTCCACCAGATGTCCCCCTCCTAGTTGTGATCATCAAAAAAGACATCATCAAATGTCCCCTGGAGAGCCACTGGCTTAAGGAATCATAACCACATCTTTGCGGTCCCCCTCCCACAGCACAAATCCCAGACTGAGTGTCTGTCCCCAGAGAAGACCTTCCACAGGATTCAGGATTATTGTGAGGAAGCAGGAAGAAGTGGGGGGGTGGGGGGGGACGGGAGGCCTACATGCTACTAGTGGGGTAAGGAAACTCTAAGGGCAGTGATGGCGAACCTTTTGAGCTTGGCGTGTCAGCATTTTGAAAAACCCTAACTTAACTCTGGTGCCGTACTACATATAGAAATTGTTTGATCTTTGCAACCATAGTAAAACAAAGATTTATATTTTTGATATTTATTTTATATAGTTAAGTGCCATTTAACAAAGAAAAATCAACCAAAAAAATGAGTTCGCGTGTCACCTCCAACACACGTGCCATAGGTTCGCCATCACTGCTCTAAGGGCTAACGTTCATTCTCTGGATAGAAAAGAACCTAGATGTTTCATTCTTCTACAACATCTACCAAACAGGGAATTCTGTCTTAGTAATTACTTACTTCTTTTTAAAATAATCATGTAGGTGCCCTTAGACCTCAAGAGATGAAAACAAAATCCCGAAAGAATTAGCCTTCTCAGTAATCTAAGATTGCTTGTGACTTCTTAAGGCTCGTGAATCCTCAGAAACTAATGATAAATGAACAACAATCTGAGCCTCCATTCCCTCTCCAGTAGAATAGAATAACAATAGCATTTAATTTATTGGACTACAATGTACATTAAATGAACTAAGCAAAAAAAAAAAAGTACAGTAAATGCTATATAAGCTTGTTAAAAAAACAAGTTGAAAGTAGTGCAAAGTACTTAGCAAAATAGGCAATCTTGACGGTATAAATAGCGAGCCACGCGATAAGGCTAAGGCTGATCTAATACACATTTTTTTGAGAGGAGTATGGCCTGAGCAGTCAGGAGTCAGTAGGAAATGAGGTAACATTAGGAAGATTTCTAGAGCACCTTCCATCCAATGTGTAATTTTCTAATTTTAGAAAGCTATTAGCTCTACCCCAAAGAACTTCTTATGGGGCATGGGGAGGTTGGGGGGAGAAGTTAAATGATTCATTATTTTAATAAATTCAAGTGTTCAATCAACAGCTGGTTATTTGACAAAACTCCACTGTTGTTTTTTTCAAAAGAGGCTGGTTGATCAACGTGGCCTCCTTGTCCACCCAAATATCACTTCTAAATAAAAATATCTTTGACCTACTGCTACCCCAAGGGGAAAGAGAGGCTGCAGATAATCTTAAGCACTACTGAATTAGGAGAGATTTGAAATGGTCGTACTAGAGCAGGGGTCCTCAAACTTTTTAAACAACAGCTGGTTATTTGACAAAACTCCACTGTTGGTTTTTTTTTCAAAAGAGGCTGGTTGACCAACGTGGCCTCCTTGTCCACCCAAATACCACTTCTAAATAAAAATATCTTTGACCTACTGCTACCCCCAGGGGAAAGAGAGGCTGCAGATAATCTTAAGCACCACTGAATTCGGAGAGATTTGAAATGATCACACTAGAGGTTTTTAATTTACCTATACCAAAAGAATTATGGGGGAAACAAAGGAAAGGCTTTTGTAACATTTTCTAACTATAAAAACATTGTTTTATGTATCAGTCTCCTGGTATATACAGGACCTATTGTATAAACTGTCATCAATGTGTCCAAAACTGGCAGACCAGAGAGATTACTCTGGATACAAGCACCTCAGATATTCAAGCACGATTATCCTGGGCCCCTATACTATGATAGGACCAATAGCAACATTTGTCACTTACATGCGTGTGCATGTGGAGAAAATGGGCAAGTTCACATTTAAGCACATACTTGAAAACTTAACAGGCGTCTGAGCTAAGAAACTTTCTTTAAAGGCTGATTTGAAATTCAAAAGTAAGTAACTTACCCCATGGAGGTCTCCTGGAGACTTCCTCCTGTTTTCATTTAATGGAGCCTGATACACACTCGTGAAAGTGTTGATCTTGGGGTTGTGACTACAAAAAACAGTGTAAAGCCAAATGAGAAATGTACTTTCTCCAAGATGATTGAGTGACTTATCTCAAAGGCACAGTCGTTTTTAAAAATTAATAAATAGAAAACTTAATAATTCATGATTTTCCAGACAATAAGTCTTAAAGACAATAAACAAATAAATTCAACATATGTAACTTAAAGACCAAATGTAACTGGAAATGATCACTTAAAAACTTTCTGAACAAATACAAAAGGATACCGAAATTATTTAAAAGAAAAACTGTTAAAGCTCTCTATGCATATACTGTATCATGGCAATTATACTGTTTTGGACAATATTTAATAGTTTGACATGGGGTGATAGCAGGTAGATTTTATCTTTTACTTATAAGAAGAAATATGAAACTTTCAACTTTTTATTTACTGCATAAAGTCCTGCCTTAAGTTCCATCAGCAATTGTAAGGACAAACCTTTGAGAAGACATTTCTTGGATTTACCCCTGGGGTGCGTGATTTTGAATCTCTGAGTGGCTACTTGTTAAAAAATAAATAAACAAAACTCAAGAGGTGTTGGGGAGGGCCATCGAACACTTACGCATGACAGTATGGCTTTTTCTGGTGACTCACAAAGTTATTAACCGACAGCATCATCTTGCAAACTTCACAGTGAAAACACGCTTTATGCCATATCTAGAAATCATACAGAAAAGATTTACCAAAATTGCCCTTTTTTTTTCAGACTCAGGATTCTTACATATTTCAGGGTTAGAAAAAAAAAAAGAGCTTTGGGCATAAAACTGTGATTTAAAAACACGCAGCTACAGTATGTTATGTAAATGAGTGACATTTTTTGAGACAATATAGAAGACATAGCTAGAACTGGGTAGAACTGCAAAAGGGTGAGAAATACATCTTTTTTTGCGTGGTTCAAAAGAATCCACATGTCCCTACGTGAGAAGATAAATTTCCCACGTTTGTGATTCTTGCCAAAGGCCAAGCAACGTCTACTGACCTGATCCAGGCAGCTGATCTTCTCAGCGGGGTACACTCCATAGCCACATCTCGAGCAAGCCTGCACATTCATCCTGACTTCCCAGGGGAGGCGACAGGGGCAGGTGACAGAGCCTCAGTCTAGTCGTTCAAGTCTCGCAAATCCCGACCACTCTTCAACTCTGGGCCACCTTGATTGTTCAGAACCCAACTTCCACTTTCCTTTGCTGACCTTCAAGTTCGAAGTCGGCAGCTGGACGGCTTTTAAAGCTGCCACTTACTCAGGGGGCTATTTTGGCCACGCGCTCAACACGCATGCGTCTGGGAAACGAGGTAGAGGTATTTCTAGCTGACATGCTTCTCTAAATAGAAAAGTGAACTCACAACAGCATCATGTTGGTGTGGATGGCCAAATCCTGGGGTATGAGTAGGCAGCATGGAGTCGTTTCTCACTAGCTGTGATCATAGCCCAAGAAAAGAACCCCAGAGAAAACGACACACCCTCCCCCAGCGATCAAATTAGAAAGGCTTGCTCTGTGAACAGGGTGACTAAAGCAGAAAGGGGAGCTCCCCAAAATATAGGAAATAAAACAGGACTGATTCACGCCACGGCAGGGGTAAAAGCCATATGTGAATCTTAGCTTAAAAATATTGGCAACTGGAAAGTGATTAAAATAAGAACAAATGAGAGCGCTCGGTGCTTTGGCCTCTGTATGTTACTGTTCCAAAAAGGCCTGCTCATTTCCTCACCCCCAGGCCTGAAGGGGGGCAGCTTGAAGGAAAACTTTCTCTCCCTGGCTTTGTGAAGCCCTTCATCGCCCCTAAACGTTACCCCAAAATGGATCTTCTAGAAACAGTTTAGGAAAGATGGCACCTTGCCCAGCTGGAGTGGCTCAGTGGTTGACAGTGGACCCATGAAACAGGAGGTCTCGGTTCGATTCCTGGTCAGGGCACATGCCTGGGTTGTGAACTCGATCCCCAGGATGCATCCAAGCAATGATTCTCTCTCACCATTGATGTTTCTCTCTCTCTCTCTCCCTCTCCCTTCCTCTCTGAAAATCAATTAAAAATATATATTTAAAAAAAGAAAAAAAGATGGTGCCCAACCTGATATAACCTTACCCTGTTTTAAATTCTCCATAGCAGCTGCCACCACCTGACTTCTTAAATACTGTGCCTCTACTTTTAAAAACCTATCTCCTTTCATCAAAACAGGATACTTGGTCCTTGTTGTCATTTCCTATCCTGTGCCCAGAACAAGGACTGACATGGAAAAGGTACTCAGTACCTCTTCATGGAATCAATGACATAAACATGACACTCTCACCAAAATGCCTATAGGGGCCAGAGGTGAAGTCATATGTTATGGTAGGAACCTTTCCAAATGGGAGGGCACACACCCCAGCCAACTTTTCATGAGTATCCAACATTGCTAATATTCTGATCTTTCCAGAGAAGCCAGATTATACCTGAAATTCCCTGTTTTGTAAAACACTGGGAACAAAACAGCACAACAGGGCCATGGGCAGTATTTGGTTGGCAGTCTACCAGTTAGTGACCAATTGGCCAAGACGTTCTGAGATGATGATAATGGGGGATCTGCAGGTGGAGGAAAGCCAATAGCACTTCTGTGTTGTGTTGGGAGAGCCAGCAGGGAGGAGGAGGCTGCAAAGCAAGTGAAGAGGATTAGCATCACATACACTAAGGGGAGGGTGCAGCTGGAGGCTCCCCATAGTAGTGGGGCTCCGCCCTCTATCTCAGGGGGAGGGAAGGGGACTCTCATTAGGGGTTCTGAGCTCAGGAAGGCTCCCATGCTGAAATGTGACACATACAGGGCAGCCTGGGCGAACAGGAACAGCAAAGACAAAGAACAAAAGACCTGAAGGCTCCCGGAATGTTCTACTCTGTGCTGAATCTCTCAAGCCTTACCTCGGAAGTGGGCTGGAAGCCCCAGTGACCACCAAAAAAGAACTCTGTCCCAACCCAGGGGGTGTGGGGGGGGGTGGATGAGGAACCACAGTCAGTTCATCTCGAGTAAAAGCTACTTTCTCTCTGCCTGTGGTTGTGGTTGGTGGTTCTCCGTAGCAGCTATAAGTCCTCGGTCACCCTGTGAAAACCAGAAGTGCCAACATGAAAGATGTTAGATGTGACTTACGCCTCCCCTTATGTTTTTAAAAGGCACTTATTAGATATCAGACTCTGGGAGGAGAAATAACGCCCACCAACTGGAAATGGGACAGTTTAAGGCAGTGGTCGGCAAACTGCGGCTTGGCAAACAGTGGCTCGCAAGCCACATGCGGCTCTTTGGCCCCTTGAGTGTGGCTCTTCCACAAAATACCGACTTCTGTGCATGGGCCACGAAGTTTCAATCGCACTGTACGTGCGTGCCCGCACCTGGTATTTTGTGGAAGAACCACACTCAAGGGGCCAAAGAGCCACATGTGGCTCGCGAGCCGTGGTTTGCTGACCACGGGTTTAAGGAGCCAGAGTGAATACTCATTGCTGGGGTAAGGTACACACAGCCCTCACCTTCTCGACAGACATGGCTCGCGGCCCTACCCCCCAGCCCCGTGTCCATCCCACTCTCTCACATCTGGAGCCCCTCCGTCATCGCCGTGATGGTGTCAGGCCATGGGAGCCTTCGCCAAGGAGCACACGTGCTCCATCGGCCGTCAGGATTGGTTCAAACAACATTTGTCTTAGCCTGGGTTCCCCAGAAAACAGAACCTGAGGCAAGGGCTGAAGTATAAGGACCTTATTCAGAAGTGTCCCGAGGAACTGGAGCAAGGGGCAGGAAACGGAGGGAGAAGAGTCAACATGAGGGTTTGTTCTCAAAGCAGCCACCGCTTGCTATGAAGTGCACTGGCTCTCTTGATCTCCATCTTCCAAGGGGCCAGCTGAGCAACTACAATAACATCCACTAGAGCAGTGGTTCTCAACCTTGGCTGCACATTAGAATCACCTGGGAATGTTTTTAAAATCCTGATGTCTGGGCCTCATCCTCCGGAAATTCTGTTTCTTTGTTACTAATATTGTGGCCCCACCCCATAACAAAGAAACAGAATTTCCGAGGGTGAGGCCCAGAAATCAGGATTTAAAAAAAAATCCCAGGTGATTCTAATGTGCAGCCAAGGTTGAGAACCACTGCGCTAGAGAATAGGAAGGATTTCTCTGTTGGCCGCTATCTCCCATTGGTGGAAGCTCTGCCCCATTGGGAGTTGATTCTCCTACACGTCCATGCCATGTCTGTGTCCACGGAGCCCCAAAGAATTTTCACATAAGTTAATAACTTATAATTATTCCTCTACACTTGCCTGGGCCAGTCCTTCTTAAGCCAAAAAAATGTCCTTACCTGGTGGGATTTTAGAGACAAGATTCAAGTCTCGGACCCAAAGGAAAGCAAGCAAACCACAAGGCAAGGTGAGGTTCTTACCTGATGTCACACCATGAAAGGTTTCACTCCTTTCACTCAAGGTGTGGATAGTTCTTTAAAAGCAAGGATCTCTACTATGAATAAAACTTATTTCTTCTCACATAGTTACACTCAGGGTGATTGAGTTAATCAGCTGCTCCCCTGAGGAGTGAAAAAGCCGTGTGTGTGTGTGTGTGTGTGTGTGTGTGTGTGTGTGTGTGTGGTGTGTGTGTGTGTGTGTGTGTGTGAGTGATGGGGGTTGGGGGGTTAGGAGTGGAGGGGAATTTGTGGAAGTGCAGTTTCCCAGTTTAGAGTAACATGCTGCTACAAACCCAAAGGCTGACTCGGTAAATATTGCTGAGTGACCGGTGCCACAGCAGGCAGCTAGTGGTGATTTGTGATGCAAAGTTGCTCAGGGAAAAACTGAGTCAGCGACCGTACCGCGCACTCGCGAAGACGGCGCGCCCCCTGCGACTGGCAATAAGTTCCGGCGGCCAGAGGGCGACCGCAGCGCATTCCACGGTGAGGCCAGAGGGGCTCCGTCTGGGAAGAAGGTAGTTTCTGCAGATGCGGGCGCGAGCTCTCGGGGGTGCTAGGGGGGCGCGAACCGCACAGACTGGGGTCCAAGGTCCGTCTGCGGAAGACCCTTAAGGCTGAGTCCTGAGGCCCAAGTGGTCTCTTTAGAAAACGTAAGAATCCAAGTTAATAGAGCTCAGAACACTCTCTAAATGCAGTTACTGTTCTAAGAATTCTCAATACTAAACTATGGAATTC